TTTCGCGCTAGTTTAGTTACCGGGACTTTCGAGAAACAGGCCCCTAATGAAGGTTTAATGGGCTACAGTAAACGTTTATGTAAGTAATGATCCATTATTTAAATTAAGTAATGTGATCAACTCTCTCCACATACATAGAGTGAAACAACAGGAAAAAAAATGCAGACCATGGACAAGCTCGTTCGCTGTCAGCTGTCTGGTAGGTTATGGGTAGTTCAGCAAGTGTAAAATTATGAAAGTAACATGTTTGATTTCTCAACAGGTGATGTGGTACCAGTCTCCTTGCCAAATTGGATAGAAGAAGAGTGCGCCCCGTAGCTTTCGCATCGAATGCCGCAGAAATGGCAAACGACGATGAAGAGTCAACTTGGTGCGTGTCTTTGACATCGAAGTTTTCCTCTGTTTACTACTTCACCTTCACTTAAACTACAGTGCAATGTAATATGTCTGCAAGCAAACTTACCAGGGCACACCAACTGACCCCTAAAGTCCCTACATGTACGGAATAATAGTATTGTTAGTCCGTCTGGATGAATTGTTAGTCTATTGCACCTTACCCCATCGGTATCTCGTCATTTTAGCAGGTTTTCCCCAACTCTCAAGTTTTCTGGTAGAAAACGAGTGTTCTCTTCTTCTCGGCGGAGTTCGTTGCACGAGTCAAAAAAAATATGTGAAAAAAAAAAAAAGCCTGGTGTTGGCACGCTGTGTGGAACTCTACTTTTCGTGCGCCTCACCCACAGAGTCTAGCGCGGCGCGCTGACATCAATTTTTTTTTGTTTTCACTGATTTTTTTTTTAACTCGCCCAACGGACTTCTCCGAAAAAGAGGGATTGCTCGTTGTCTATTTTTCTGGTAACCATTTTACCGATGAAGAGAGAGAGAGGTAGTATTAGGGTTAAGTGTCAAAAAGCTCAATACAAATGAGTCAAGGAACACAAACCATGTAGGCACTGCATCTCCCACAGAAACTAGGCCACTTTCTGTACCGGGCTACTCTTTTAAAATATTCCTCTCTCTTTTAGTTGTTGTTGTGAACACCGCTACAGTCCGTGTGTGCTGTGGTCGTCGTTTTGCAGCTGGTTTGTACGTCGGCTGGAGATCTTTTTCGGTTGTTTTGGCGAAGGAATTGCCAAGTATCCTCTTTTTGTTATCCCAGTATGCCTCGTTTTCGTCAGCATTTGTTCCGTGGGATTTGTTTGGCTTAACGTGGAAATTAGAACGGTGAAACTGTTTATTCCTCAAGACAGCCAGGCTGTCTTAGACTTGGACCTAGCCGAGGAGTATTTTAGACTTAAGGTTCGCGAGGAAATCGTACTTTTAGTGAGCGCGCCTGATTCGCGAAATGTTCTTAATAGAGATTGCCTAAAACAGGCCCTACAGGCCCATGAGGAAGTTGTGAAGTTAACATCGTATTCAAAACTTTGCGCAACCTTGTCTGGCGATGTGGCTGAATCAGCAGAAAAATGCATGATGATAAACCCCTTAGAGGTGTTTCAGTTCAATGAAAGGGAACTGAACGTTTCAGACTCACAAATTCAAGCTAACATAACGAATCCTAACCTTACTGTCATGCGCAATGGCCGTCCTTATCAGTACAACTTCGGTCGGATGTTTGGTGACGTCACTAAAGAAAGTGGTGACGTCACTGGTGCAAAGGCTCTGCAGATGGTTTACTTTCTTCGCGATCCGAGCAAGGAAGAGGCGAACACAGAAGTTCTTGAATGGGAGAAAACGTTTATTGATAAAATGACCTCGTTAGCGGATACTCTATCGTGCTTTAAAGTTTATTATTCGAGCGAGCGGAGTCTGGATGATGCCATTTCTGAGAGTTCCGGTTCTGACATCACTCTTGTGTCAATCACGTTCACGCTCATGATAACGTTTGCTTGTGTCATGCTGGGAAAATTCTTAAATCCGCTGACCGGTCATTCTCTGCTCGCCAACGCAGGTGTTTTCGCTGTGGCTCTCGGGATACTAGCTGGGTTTGGCTTAGCTATGTGGTGCCGAGTGCCCTTCGTGAGTATGGTCGGAGTACTCCCGTTCTTGATCCTCGGTATCGGAATCGACGATATGTTCATACTAGTGGACGAACTCGATCGGCAGCAGAAATCTCTTACAGTTATTGAGACGGTTAAAGAGGTCATGGCCCGATCTGGTGCTACTATTACCATGACAACGGTAACAGATTTGGTAGCATTTGCAGTCAGTACTTCTACTTCCTTTCCGGCGATTAGGTAAGATGTGAATATGAGTATGAAGTAGATGTGCTTTAAGTCTTTTCATGATGGAGTGCTTTTAGAATCAAAACAGCCAATCAGAAGAAAGCAAAATACCTTAAATACCTAATTAGGACTGAAAGTAAAACAAGCAAACTGCCTAAAGCGCAGGAAAATGGAAGCGACCAAATGGTGATTGGTTTTTCATCTGATTGGTTTTAAGAGTGGTGCGAGTTTCTAGAGCAATCACAGAACAAAGTAAAGCAATAACAAAGCAATCCCAGATTTTTTGACATCCAATTGAAGACATCAGCCATTATGCTATCTGAAATTTTCCAATCTTATTCTCAATTTCGGCCTGGAAAGTTTCTTTTTATTTTGCGATCTCTAAATGCTTAGGAAGACCAGAGAAGCAATTAATAGGCATTTTCGTCCATCAAGTAGATCTTGTTTCTCAGATAACACATTAAAACATAATTAACGCAATTGCTGACCTCCGAAAAAAGGGCAACAAGTAAACATCCTCGTTACAATAACACAAAGGAACACATTTGAAAAAAAATGCGAAGACCAATGAGAATATTTGTGGTGATATGTTGCCTGTTCTCGTTGATCAACAGGTACTTCTGCGTGTACGCGGCACTAACAGTAACTTTCTCTTACTTGATGATTGTCACGTATTTTGTCGCTATTATGTCATACGATGTCAGGAGAATCAAAGCAGGTCGCCGCGACTGTTTACCATTCTGCCGGGCACCTCCGCCAAAAGAGAACGAGTCAGCGTGGGACGAGCCTCGTCCCCAGGTTTCAAACAAGTTGATGAACGCCTGGGCAAAGTTTTTGACCCATCCGGCGACTAAAGTTGTGGTGATCATCTTTTCGCTTGCGTCTCTCGCTGCTGGAATATACGGAGCCACAGTGATAGATGAAAGTTTTGACAGACGGATCTTAGCCAAAGATGATTCATCCCTGAAGAAGTTTCTGAGTGCACAGGAACAGTACTTCAAATCAACTATTCCTGTCAGCATTGTTGTAACGGGCAATGTTGATTATGGAGAAAGTTCAGTCCAGGATGACCTAAAGAACTTGGCAAACATTGTCACCTCTAATAAATATTACGAGAACACCAATTTGTCCTGGATCGATACCTTTTCCAAATACGCTCAAGCTTACAAGAAGAACATCGAGGGGTCGAATTTTACACGAGAGTTAAAGGAATTCCTTAACTTTGGACAATTTTCTTACTTTAAACAAGATTTGAAGTTTTCTGATGATAACACGATTAAAGCATCGCGCATTATAGGTGTCATGAAGGACACAACAAGATCAACCGATCAAAAGAATGCTATGCTAACCCTTCGCCAAGATCTCTCGGACAAATCAAAGCTGGATGCTTTCCCAATCGCCCGACCCTTTATCTTCTTCGAACAATACGCTATAATCTCAAGGGAGACCTTGACGAATCTTTTGATCGCGGCCCTAGCTGTTTTGGTTGTCACGAGCCCCTTCTTGTTGGACTGCACTGTGACTATCCTTGTGGTGTTCAATTTTGTGGCACTGGTCCTTGAGCTGTTCGGTTTGATGGTCCTCTGGGATGTTTCCTTGAATTCTGTTTCGATGATCAATCTTGTTATGGCTATTGGTTTCGCAGTGGACTACAGCGCCCACATAGCGCATGCGTATGTTATGTCCGACAAGGAAACAGCCAATGAACGTGTCGTAGACGCTTTGAGCACACTGGGTGCAAGTGTATTCATGGGAGGTCAGTCTGGTTCGATACTTACTGTGCTATCTCTTTAAAACTTGATAGCACGCTTTTCGATTGAGTTTCTCATGGCCAAAACAAACATAATCACAGCGGCCGATTCCGAAATCAAGTTCACATGAAAAGGAATCAATTAGAACTCTAAGTTAGTACAAGTAACTGACCTCAAGCGCGTGAAGATTGCGACTGGTTTTTGGTTGTATTTGATATGACAGTTAGGCGGTGTAAGTTATCAAATTCAAGCACGGCGAGATAAGTAGCACAATACAACGACAATTCCAGATTAATCTCGAATCTTTAATTGCTCTCTTTAGTTTAAAGCTCACTAACAAAACATAGAATTCGTTTTACACGGTTTGTCTCAGTCACATTATGGAGGAAAGTAACTCCATGTATGCACAAAAAATTTGCTCTCTTTAGTATAGAGTTCAGTAACATAACATAGGATACGTTTAGCAAGGGTTTTCTTAGTCATGATATGAAGGAAAGTAACTTTATCTATGCACAGAGATACCATTATTCCAACACACAAAGTAATTCTAATGAAGACAGAAATTTTAATACTTTCTCTACTTGCGATAATTTGTAGACAATTTTTTCACTCTCAAGATTAGATGCATCAGTCCAAAAGTTGACTTTAATCTTTGACTATTTGGGCTATATAAATGATCCAAATTATCAGAGAATATGAAGCTAAGTTTAGAAGATCAATAGCAAAATTGTATTGCGCCGACACTTCATAACTCGCTTAATCATCTGTTTCTCTGTTAAATTAAATATAAGCCCTCAAGGGTTTAGAGGAAAACAACAATAGTGTTTCTTATAAATACTTTTTTTCCCCCGTAGGTTTCAGCACTTTCCTTGGTATGATAGTCCTGGCGTTTGCGGCGTCGGAAATTTTCCGAATATTCTTTCGGATGTTCCTTGGGATCGTCTTGTTCGGTCTTCTCCACGGTTTGTGCATTCTTCCTGTCTATCTGTCTCTCTTCTGTTGGAGGCCAGCTGTTACCAGGCCACTCGGGACGCGTGTGAGCGTGGAGAGCTTACCGGAGGAAGTCGCCCCCGAAAACGAGGCTGTTGACGGGGAGAGCTGCGGCAAAGGGGTGGCGGAAGGACTTAACAGAAGCAGAGATTTGGGAAGTGCGTCTTCCAACGAAGGTTTCGAGCTCACCGAGCAAGAAAAGGTACTGGATGGCAAGGTTGACGAGCAACAACCGCTCAAAGCAAACGACGAAAGTGGGAAAGAGGGAACAGATGAAGCAGGGAAGCATGGCAGCGAAAGTACAGAGACTGGAGAGTCGTCAGCGCATGTGCAAGTAGAGAGGGATCCAAGTGCAGAGCAAGATCCCGTTACAGAGGTGCAGGAGAGCAAGAAAGACACATCTGAGACATTTTTGAGCGAGGAAATCATGTCTGAGGCTGTTGACGGGGAGAGCTGCGGCAAAGGGGTGGCGGAAGGACCTAACAGAAGCAGAGATTTGGGAAGTGCGTCTTCCAACGAAGGTTTCGAGCTCACCGAGCAAGAAAAGGTACTGGATGGCAAGGTTGACGAGCAACAACCGCTTAAAGCAAACGACGAAAGTGGGAAAGAGGGAACAGGTGAAGCAGGGAAGCATGGCAGCGAAAGTACAGAGACTGGAGAGTCGTCAGCGCATGTGCAAGTAGAGAGGGATCCAAGTGCAGAGCAAGATTCCGTTACAGAGGTGCAGGAGAGCAAGAAAGACACATCTGATACTTTTTTGAGCGAGGAAACCATGTCTGAAACTTCCACAAAGTTCTAAGGTTATTTGTTTATGGAGTATTTTTAGAAAAATGGAAAGTGCTCGCTTCCTAGTGATTTTTATCTCGTGATGATCGCGTAGAGAATTTGCTGTAAATTCGTGAGGAGTTTATTTTTATAACAAACACTCAGTAAGGTGTTCATTGTGGCTCTTCCTTTTATTTGGCTGATCAGAAATCACGTTAATCACGGGTTTAAAGGCCAGTAAATCAGTTGAAATTGAAGATCAGTTGTCAAGTTTACAAGTTGTAACAGTCGTTATAAATATTATAGGCTACATCATCGAATTTTAAAAACGAGATATCCTTTGTGTAAAAGAAAATTAGCCTAAGTGTACATTTGTATAAGTTTAAATCCAAGTTCCTATTAGGATAGTAAATGAAACATTAACATGCTTCTGCCAATTGTTCTAAATTTAAATTAGCGGCAATCGATCTTAGAACCTTCTCTTCGGCTTTTTGTGTCGTAAAGCATGACAAATGGTTTTTCTTGCCGATTCGTTCTGATTTTTCATTTTCATTAATTTCGAGCTACACTAATTTTCAACTGGAAGGCTTAAATACTTGATTTTAAAACTCATTGTCAAATGAATGATCAGGCGTTCTTCGATTCTGAGCCCTGCTTTTGCATTGTGATTTCACGTGATTTAACATAAGTTAAGTATGTGTGTATTTTTGTAACATAAAAGGTACGCTTAGCAAGTTCACAGCACTATCCTTTTTCGGGAAACAAATAAAGAATTTTATTGTGATGTGGACTGACAATCGTTTTACTGTCAAAAGAACACGCTGACTTTCCTTGAAAGTCCAGAACTGTGTTATTTTCGAGGGTACTAATACATTTTGATTTCTAACTCATAATGGTTGTAGGTCTCTGTCTCATGGCCTGCGTAGCCAGCGGTTGTCGTTGTTTTTTCTATTTGGTGGGGGGGAGGTAGGGGAGCAGGCTTCTGATTCAAGTGATTATTTATTGTTCTGATATCGTTATGATGTCTTAGTTCACTACTTCCATGTGTTCATTTACGAATCTGGTTCCTGATAAATGTACGGGTAGGGATTCCAACGAGTTTAGGACGCGAAACCAGCGAATAAAGCTTAAAAAAGCGGCTCTTTTGCAGGAACTGAGCTGATTGCTTCCATAGCGCGTTAGGTATCTTGCGTGACTATCTAAATAACTCGTGTCACGATTTCGTGACATGTTCGAACAGACAGACAAAGGACACCGCGAAAGAATGTAACATGGCGGTCGCTATGTCGATTTTTCATCGTAGAAGTTCTGACTTGTTTAAAGCTCTTGTAATTCGCTTCCCAAAACAGTACTTTTGTTCCATAGCTGGTGGTAACGTGGATGAAGGGAAAGAAAGAAGTTCTGATCGTTTAGGATCTGATTCACACGGAAAAGAACTTGATTTGGTTCTTGCATGTTTACGAGTGGATCGTGTTGCAGCTAGTGGCTTTGGTATTGGAAGAAAGTAAGGTGATATTTAGCGTGACATTCACATTTGTGTTAAGGAAATTTTATTTGATTATGATTTAAAGCTAAGTTACTCCTTCTCATTCACTCGTGATGTGCCATTGAAATAAATGCATAATACCGTGCATAGCTAGTAGATTACAGTACAATGCACAGAAGAATAAACTTAATTATAAATATTGTTTTGACAAAAAGAATTATCTTTCCTCTTATTTGAATCATCTGCAGCAAAATAAAAAACCTCATTGCTTCCAAAGACGTTTTTGTCAATAAACTCAACACAAGCCAGTCTGACTTAGTAAGTACATTTTAACATTGTCCAATCACGTCACCACATATTTCTCATATTAACTGCGTGGATAGTGTTTTAGGACCGGACTAGTGGTCTTGGTTGGGTCATTGTGCTGTGTAAGACACACCCCTAGTTGCTGTGTGAATTGAAATGGGGCAAGAGGGGGGGGGGACAAACCTCTCATTCGGGTGGATGGAGTACTTAACTCCTAGTTGCTTCATACCACAGAAAATAAGATGTGGTCAAGAGGTTATGAGAAACTAGGCTTGCACAATCTTTGCTGACCCATGACCACAGTGTATGTAATTGTTCCCATCAATATTGATAATAAACCTAAAAGAACAAATGTTTTGGCTTAAACTGGAATGAAGTTTTAAATATGACTAAAAAAAGCCAAACAGATATTGGTTGTTTTGAAACTGGAATTTTTTTGTGCATGGTCATGTTGCATCTTCCAATGCTTTGGGGTTACTGCTATTATCTTCAAGATCCCCTTGGGACTCCATAGGTCTTGCAATTGAAAATGGCAACTACCAGGTGATTCAAACATCGACATTGCTTGTTTTTGTTCCAGATCTTATACACTAGGTTCTTTTTTTCACTAGTTTAACGGAGCTTGTTTTACATATGGAGGCTTTGTTACCTTAGATCTGATCTTCCCTAGATGTAAAAGATTGAAGGAAATATTTTGTTGAGTTGATCAAGCAACTTACTATTTTCATTACATGTGGATTATTTTTCATAATGAAACCTGTGTTGAGCAGAACCCTGTTTATTAGGCACCTTTTAATTACAAAATTAATATAACTATTTATTAAAATGGACACTTGTGAGGTTCTACTTAGAACCAGGCGGCAAGAGATATGAGCTGGAGGATCACATATTTTAAGCTTTTACACCCTGACATCAGTATGCATATTCTCCTTACTGTTCCCTATACATTTCCTGTGGTGCTGGCGAGGAGAATTTGTTTGACAATCAGAAGCTTTTTTAGTTAGTGATCATTTTCTTTATTCTCATTACTTGAATGATTGATTCAGGGGTGATATTGTAAGGAGAATTTAAATGGAAAATGAAAGTCACTCTTAGGGGTCAAATTACTAAAGATGCATTTTCCCAATAGGTTAATGAGGGAGATGAAATTGATCTCACAAGATCAAAAGAAAAGGACAAAGTGGTTATGTCACGATTCAAGGTGTTGACAATCTATAAAGATCTTACCAAGAAAGCAAAACGACGCCTTGTTGGAGTGCGGTATGGCAGTATGATCATATCAAGAGAGGAGTTTGATAAAGATTATGCTCACCCTTCAAAGTGAGAAGCTTTGTGATGCAAATATACATTTAGATGCCATCAAAATGGATACAAGTGAACTTGGAAGCAAATGACTTTGTGGTCTTGTGTCCTTTTTACTCTGGCTTGCAGCTCTTGGCACAAATTGTTGGCAGAGGAATGTGAAGTGCGTGCAATTTGGGTATCCAGTCATCAATAAATTTTAATAGATAAATATATTCATCAAACTGGCTATTCCTTGCACTCACAGTGACGTTTACTAGAAACAGCTATACATATATATATATATATGTAGATAAATGTATTCATCAAACTGGCTATTCCTTGCACTCACAGTGACGTTTACTAGAAACAGCTATACATATATATATATATGTAGTGGTGTTGAACTTTGTGATGCAAGAGTCACTGTAAGTACTGACTATCAACTGTGTTATGACTATCACAAAGTTAAGAGAACCATTGAGATATCAGTCCTTTGCTGAGAGGTGTAAGGGGGGCCCTGCTTGTGTATTATGCACATTGAAAAACAGAAATTATGCATTACAAAAAAATCAGATAAAACAACTTTAAGGTTCACATATTATGAAAAGCAAAAACTGTGCAGTTTCAGGGTTTTAATTTCGTATTTCCATTGGTCATGAAAATTAAAAACTCTAAATCCTGTCTCACACATTCCCTTTTTGCGTTTATGAAATTTTAGGTTTCTTCTCAACTTTATGTGAAGGTTGCAAATTGCTAAATTTCTCATGAAGCCTACAAGTGCATAAGTCATCTTTGGGGAGCTTTGTTCCATTCAGTTTTCGGAGTATTCTTGGATAGGAGCATTTCTGTCTTTCCCTATGGAGCTCAAAATGTCTTCCTGTAAGTTTGAAATCCAGTCCAACAGATAAAAACATGAAAAAAGAAGAGAACAGTAAGAAGAGGAGAGACTGTAAAAGGGTTTCGTAGCCCTCTTTACCATCCCAAACAATGTGTAAATGGAATGGACTTTATTTGGTAACTGATCAAGTAAAATGGTGTTTTGGCATTGAATTGTCCTGATCTCTTCTCTAAATTTCTTCTGTGGCAGATGATTAAAGTTTCAAAATATTCTGGTGATGTGATTCAAATCCTTAATATTTCCTAGAATTCAATAAAAGTTGTGGAGAATGGACACCACCTTTGACATAACAGAAATACAGACGTCATACATAATTCGTGCCCCAAAAACAATGATTATAGTGACAATATACACAAACATAAGTACTTGGTATGTGGAAAATATAACACTGTCTAGTAACCATGCTTTCAAAATTTGACTGATTTTCACATTTAACTGGTAATGACTCTAAAAGATAATGGTATCTATAATGTTGAGCATCATTTTCTTGTGTCAAATCTGAAGTTTTGACAAAGTAATCAAGGGAATAATTGAGCGACAAATACATTGAGGGCTAAAACAGCATGTTCACAATTACCCACTTGAAAATCTTCAAAAATTATTCTCAAATTAATCGTTAATAACCATTTATTAGGATAAATATTAAAAAATAGCCACCCTAGTGTGACTTGAACAGCATTTGCAGGAAGGAAATTGAAATTTCTAGTCTATTTTTTTTTAGGGGGGGAAGGGAATCTGACAGGGACTTCTTTGGGGTTGATACCCTTAATGTCTGATCGATACTTTCTAAAATCCCTTTACAATGTGTAATTCTCTGAATTATCAGCATCAAACTGGCATTTCACTCAAATAATTATACGAGTTGATGGGTGGGAAGGATTGCCAGTTACTGCTCTATGGAGTTAAATGGGTTTTGGGAGGGAGTGATGGAAATTTCCCACCTCAAATTTCCCTTCATGCTCCTAGAATGCAAGTACCTGGAAGAAGATCGTACATTTATTGCATTGAAATTAAAAGCTGTAGAGCGACATGGTTGTAGATTATCACAATAAAAGTAATTCTAACTCCTTTGCTGTGCCAGCCCACCATTACTATTATTTTATTACCCTTATTATATGGGCACAACCCATAAATATATTGCACTGCATTGCAAGGGCAAAGTGTCAATTGGTTCCATATGTAATGTGAAATTTGTGTGCAGTATAAGAAAGCAAAAGTATGAAAATGTAAAAAAATTAGACTACTAAAAGGAATGGTTAGGGTCAAAATTAGGGCGAGATTGAAAAGAAGAAAAAGTAAATGTAAAATACAAGTAAAGGAAAACTTAAATTGTTAGAAAACCACAAGCACCTATATATAGTGTTGTGCTTTTGCCAAAGCCTATTTTCTTTATCTTTAGTACAGACCCAAGTTTCCAAAATATTTCTGTTTGTCAAATAGATTTGTGTGCTGCTGCATGTGTCCAGATTCTTATGCTTTTGCTTAGAACCTCTGATCAAATTTGATGCTGATAAAGGATTTGTGGCTGTATTGCTGAATATCTAATAGTTTGCAGCCTCACACAATAAACTTTGACCATTTAACCATAGCAAGGAACTTGAAAAAGAAATAATGAAACCAAAGAAAAAAAATTGAACAATCACCTGTAAAAGAAATGGGTGACTTTTAGAATTACACCATGAACAGTTGAATAGCTGGGAACACAACTGCTGTTGTTAAGTTTAGGAGGCCATGCATATCTGCTTGATATCCCTCATGTTCTAAACTAGTGTTAGTAACTTTCCAGTGATCTTACCGTTGTTTTCAGGAAATATGATCTCCCCTCCAACATAAAAATTCAGTTTACCCAGTGATGCTTGAGGAGGTTTTTTCCTAAATTTATGCACCAAAAGAGAGCCAATTTCGTTCCAAAATTATTTGGAAAAACAAAAACAAAACCTCCAACAACACTGAGTAAATAGTGCACTTACAAAAAATTTTAGTTTCTGTCAATTCAGGTGTCTGAACACCTAGTATTTACAATGAAAAATTATATTTCTTTCTTCAACTTTTGAACTGGATTAATAAGAGAATTAGAGTAGAAGTTGACAACATCACAGTTTCTTGACATAAACAAACTTACTTATAAGGTTGTTTCTTAATGAGTTAATTTATCCATTATAAATGAGTAAAAGCTGTACAGCACTCCTTTGCAATTGATTAGAGAGTTACTTTGTCAGAGGACTGTAATTCTACCTACTTTTAACCCTCAAGTGCTGGAAGTCATTGAAAAGATCTCCAGATATACAAATCATGCAAATATTACTAGCTCTACAAAAACTTGGAAAAATTTAAACTACTTTGTACATGTGCTGTTCCTATTTTCAAATTCTGAGTATGCCATTTAACGGTGTAAGTATACTCCAGAAACCACTCTGCCATTCAAAAGCATATGAAAGACATTTTTTTTTTAGTTCACTGGCTATTTCAATTTCAAGTCTATCCACCACCATAAACTTCACAAAGAATTGTTTTAAAATAAAAATTAAATGCTAGAGAGAGCTAAAGAAATCATACGGCTTACATTAAAAGGTGCCCTCAATGACTTCTAAATTACCAATGAAATATAAATCATGTTTGGTTGTTGTCCTTTTTATGTTTGAATTTTTACACTTTGATTAACAACAGAAAAAAAATCATGAAACTTCTAAAAGAAGGTAGACAAACTGGGAGAAGAGGTAACTGAAGGTGGTAATACATCAAATTAAAAATGTCTCTCAAAGCTGAAGCCATGAATACTGATATGATTCGATAATGATGCAATTTTCAGTGGCAGAGGTAATACTGTATGATTTCTAGAGAATACTTCTCCATTAAATTTAAAAATGTTTCTAGAGAATACTTCTCCATTACATTTTAAAAGATATTAGCTTTAACTATCTATTCTGCATTTTTCCTATAACAGGGAGTGGGTGGGCCTCTGTGTTGAACACCCATTGGTCCAGAGGCAAAAGGCTGTCATCAGAAAATATCAAATACAAATACTTCAGAGTTTCTGCCAAGAAAAAACTCTGTTGGACGTCATCATGTGACACTGCTGTGGAGGCTACATCTCGTATGCCACTGTACCCTGCTTCAACACGACAGAACTTTTCAATGTTCTAGAAAATGATAACAACAAAGTAATATAAAATTACCAGGTGTCTTTGTTTTTAACAATCAAATGCACATGTTAAATTACCGACAACTGATGGATGACTTGTCCACAAACCTATTGAACAAATCTATTGGTTTTTCATGGATATCAAGGCTACTTAGACTGTGAGTAAGAACAACCACTTTATACATCTTTCTGGCAAGTTGCCACCTGTTAAAATAGCAGTTTTATTGACAATTTCCTAAATTTTAACTGATTTCAAAACATATTTTGGACTTTGAACCAACTGGATGAGAAAAAGGGGAAAAATAAAATGTGAAAAAGACAAAAAAGAGTTGACAAAACAGTCCTTCTGAATCAATCTGTTGATTGAAGGAACACAAACTAAAAGCATATTTAATCTACACAGGCAATTGGCAAAGTATTAAAACCAATTATTGCTATTTCACGACAAGTCTCTGGCCCTTTTAAGATTCCTAACTTTTCCCTGACAATGAAAAATATTTCTCCAACATTCCCTTAGCTATCCTGGTAATTCTGGTGAGATAAACAATGTTTAAAAAAATTAATTATTAACCTGAGCAGCCTCCCAGGCCCATTCACGATACTTAGGCTCATGAGTAAACCGCCACATGTAGAAGTATCCTTCAATCACTTCTGGTCGAAGAATATAGTATCTCTCATTCACGCGAATACCAACTGCCTCATGAGGTCCCTCAAACCTGAAGGCTTCTGGGCCAATACCAGTAGCTATACAAATGAATTAGAAGGTTTACACCATGTTCTAAATTTGACTAGAATTTTCTGGCCACTATTTATCACTACAGAAAAAAACATTTAAAGTTATCCTTCAGTAACATGTTGATTCAATGGACAATTTGATTGAGGGCTTGAGCTACTGTATTTCTTTTTTTTTATTTTAAGTTAAAGGATATGATAACATAGCTTGGGTGAAAGCTTGTAATAAAAAAATAGAGTGCCTTGAGGCCTCATCATCCACTACAGAAAATGTTTTGACATGGCTCACACCCTTGACAGTTACAGATAAACTGCAGAAGTGAGAGAAATTGCATTCCCAACTGTGATCTGGGTTTCATTGCTGAAAATGGCACAATATGGGGCTGATTTTCTTGTTGATTTGCCCTCTTTCTCTGATCAGAATTCTTCCAATCTCACACTACAAAATTCCATGACTCTCTATTACCTCCTCTGGGACTATCAAAATATTTCCAGTGACTTACAATACAAAATTTGTTTTAAAAATAATGTCAAAATGATCATTTGATTCTGTTACTTCTTGTTACACGGTTTAAGGAAAGTTTTAAGAAATGCTATAGATTGTTTTTTATGACCTTCCATAACCTACTGATGTATGAGCTACTCCTTAACTTGAATTTGTCAGTACAATTACTTACTATGATAAAATGGTAACACTGTTGAAAATAATTCAAGAATAAAAAATTTTAATTGCGCTTTCAAAATATGATTTAAGATCAAATTTTTGACCTCTTTGCTTAGGAAATGCTCTATTCTAACAAGGCATACCTTAAGCCAATAGCAGCATTACTGGATTACCTGTTTTGCGGTAAGATTCATGACATGTGTTAGCAAGTTCTGCACCAAGGTTGATGAAATGTTTCTCACTTCTAGAACCTTTAGCTCCAAGAGCAAACATCCCAGCAGTAAAACAAGCCTTAAATCAAATGAAAAATCATGATGTTTTGCTAATTGTCAAAACCTTACTTAAGCTTGATCACTATGATGGAACAATATGGTAAAAGGTAACTGTTTAAACCTGAGAATAAGTGTCCCTTGAGTAATATGATTGTGTAAGCAAGTATTAGTAACAGTAGTCCTGACATGCACCACTATTAGTGGTAGTGAAAGATATTTTGACAAGCTGGGTAGAAGTTATCACTTGGATTAAGTTGAGAACTCCCACTCTTGTTCTCCAAAAAGGCCTAGAAAGGACTTCTGTCACCTGGACAATCTCATTACTAAATGACTACTGAGGAAACAATGTTCAGCTTTTTATTTAAAAATAAACAACAATGAAGATGACTCTTGGAGAGCTTTAATCTGACTCTCACCAAGTGATCCATTTTGTGTTCCAGCCTGCCATACTTGTACTCTGCAATGTATGTAAGGTTGGAAGGCTGTGACTTTTGAACCAACATTCTTTCTATGGCCTAAAAAAGTAAAAAAGAACAAAATAGACATCGTCAAAACTATTTTGTCTAGGAGAATTTTTAGCCTCGCTGTTATGGGGCACTTTCAAACACAAGGTCTGGCACAGTCAGAACATTATGTTAACCATTCAATCCCTACTGAAAAGTGACAAGCATCTAATTTCTCCTTACAATATCACTTCTGAATCAAATGTTACAGTCAAGAGGATAAAGGAAATGATCTCCAACTGAAAAAGCTCATGATTGTTCTACAAATTCTCCTCTTCAGTACCATTAGAAATGTCTAGAAAACAGTGTTGGGGAATATGCACTCTGATCTTAGAGTGTAGAGAGTGAATGGATAGAACACTTTACTGTGACAGAGCCTCTCTCTCTTTCCACAGGTATAAGTGGGTACAACAAACTGCCAGGGGTAAAAGATTCTGGGATAAAATCTGCAAGTGACTGGCTATCTGGCTTGAAACATGTAACCCTTTACTAGGGGTTTCAATATGAGCAAGTTACCAATAAAATTTGCCCTCTGAGTCAAGAGAAATTGCTTCCTTTTTTTTTCAATATTGGAGCAAAAAACAATATTCCATTTAATTTAGCTGCCTCCTTTGCAGTTTTACAGTCTGCTTCAAAATTTATTGATAGCCCTGCTTTGCCAATGAACTTAAGCATAAAGGATGAGGGAGGAATTAGTGACCTATACATGTACACTGGATACATTGTGAGGTAGATTGTACCATAAAATTAACTGTAAAACAAGATGCAAAATATAGGTTACCAACCTCCACAGCTTTGTCGTACATCCGCCTAGCCACATTGTCTGTTTTTCCACTCATCACCCATGACTTGATTAAGTATTCATAAAAACTGTCTCCCAATGCACCCAATGAAACATGCTCTGTTGTTTAAAAGGGAATGTGGCATATTCAATAAAATTCTGTGGCTGGAAATAACCCAGTATTATAATCCAACTGTACAAAGAAGATTACATATAATGTGTGAATAGGGTACAAATATCCTGCAATATTGTACAGTTGGTTATTTTGTATTGTAAAAAACCTATTAAACCAATAGGCTGCATGCATCACGCTTTTCTTTCCACTTTGCTTTTCCATACTTATGAGAAGTGAGCAGAAAGACTTTGCAGAAAAAAGCAGTTAAATAATAAAAAATTTAAAACTTATTAGTAGTTTGGTGTGTAGTATTGTTGAGTATTTTCACCCACTGTTTGTATTTGACTTGTCCTACAGGCTTGTCAAAATACAACACAACTTGTAAAAATACTCAGCAGTACTACACACCAAAACGTCTTCTAAGATATACATAGAGAAGTTGTTTAAAACAAATGGTTTGATGCTGCCTCAGTCCTGGACTCTGTCTTACTATCCTACTCTCAACTCTTTTTCAAGGTAGTTCTCCTTAAAGACTAGTGAACTAGTTTCCTGTTTCTTGAGTCTTAAAAGGGGAAATGTGAGGCTGTTATGATGATAAATACTTCACTTTGATGCAGCTTATATGAATGAAAGATATAATTGATTACAACTGGTCCTCTAAAATAATGTTCATAATTATTTTTAGCAAATTCAAATTGGGGTTAAAAAAAAAACAGTGTTAAAAAAAATACAAAACAGCTTACGTGAGCCCCAAACTCCACTTCTGGGGTTTAAGTAGTTGGGATACAATCCATTGGGCTTGTTTATTTGATCAAGGACTTCTCGTACTCTGTAAACCTGGACCAGAAACACAGGCCAGCTGTAAACTATTTTCACTAGTTAACAATTATATTTACGAGTAAGATGGATGTTGTAAAGGAGAGACAAGGTTTTACCATTGAGGACTTATGGTTTAAATAAACTGATTCCTAAATATACAACAAGTAGATGAGTGATATAAAAAATGAATAGATAAGCTATAAAGATGTACACAAAACCATTTATACTAAAATTATACAGATTCCAAGTTTGTGGCATTTTACTAAAAGAGTTCTTTGCACAAAGTATTTTAGACACATGGAGTATTTTAATTAAGGCATTCAACAATGGATAAATTTTGGATATGTTTTATAGTTTCTTTCTGGTCTCCTCAAAATGTGTTCTCTTTTTCTGCTACTAATGTATATGGTTTCATTATAGACCAATTCCAATCAAGACATATTTTATTTGGCTATTCATTCAATTGTTTTTGTTTTTTTTGTTTTTTTTGTTTTTTTGTTTTTTTGTTTTTTTGTTTTTTTGTTTTTTTGTTATTTACTCTCTCCATTTGTTTATTTGTTCATTGATGTACTTCCCAAAACTTCATTCTCACCTTTTTGGCATAGATTGGGTCCCCTGTGATCTTTGACAAATAAACAAACTCCAGATGCAGGGTGCCAAACTCTGCTAAAATGGAACATCCCCCAGATGCCCAACCCCAATTGTGTCCACTGCCACTGTGGAAAGAACAAATAAAGAAATAATCTAACAGAGAGCATTAGAGGACCTTATTTCCAAAGAGCAATAGAGACCTGACTGCACTTTAAAATGAATAAAATTTGGAGGACAGGTTTTTTTTAAAAATTTTTTTCTTTGAAGAACACTCTAAGCAGATGATGCTGCAAAGTACACAGTGTTGAGCACTGAGCCACTTTTCACATTACAACAGATAAGTTTGAAAACAAAATGAACACATTCCATCGAGACTGGGTAATAAAGAAAAGGTTTTCCATCATTTCCAATGATCACAGTATCAGAAATGCTTGATTGCATCCTTGGGTATGTGCTTTTAATGAGTCTGATTATTCTGCCAAAAAATCACATACCTGGCAAAATTAACCATGGCCCAAGGTATTCCAGTTGGAGTATTGAATGCAGGTAACAATTTGTCCCCTACTTCCTTAGCTTTTACCTTAAAAACCTGAGGAAAATAATAAATTATTACAGGTAGGTAATGAGAGAAAAAAAAAAGATCAGAAAAGTAATAAATAGAGATACAATGTATTAAGAATTTTTGTTATAACTCAACCAACCTCTTCTCCACTGAATGCGTAAGCAGAGAGTAGTCCTCCAAGAAAGCGAATTGTAGTTTCAAACACAGATACATCTGACGCCTATGAAGAATAATATAGAATGCATGTTTCATATAATTTATAAGAATCTCTTCTGTTTATGATTTATTACACATGTACACATAAGGATAATACAGTGAATGTAAAATGGCACACACACAACTTTAGATGAACATTTGGAAGGGTAGGATCATTATCTGTACATTTAAGCATTCACTTGATACATTTACATTAATGAGTTAACCATGATACAAACAGCACTGGAAAACTGCCAAAATAAATTGACCTTACCTGCACTTTTTGCAGTTTAAATCTGGTGTATAAAAAGAGCCACAAATCTCTTTTTCAGAGTTAACCCTTAAACTCCCATGAGTGACCTAGACAGAATTTCTCGTACCATATCAATACAACATCAAGCAGACCAGTGATGAGTATAGAGAAAAGTCTCACTTAGGGATTACTAGTTGATCCGATACCAAATTCTCTGAACTAACATCGTAAGAATTGTACCACAGACTATAAAGAGAATTACTAATGAAATATTGGAAGTGGACAAGTAAATAGGTGATCACACATGTTTCAACTTTAGTATAAAAACAACTGAATGCATACTGGCATTTGCTGTTTGCCATGAATGTCAAGGTTACCCTCTATTAACCCTTTGACACTCACGAGTGACTAGCATCTAATTTCTCCTTACAATACCAACCCTGAATCACACATTAAGGTCATGAGAATAAAGGAAATGATCAACAACTAAAGAAGCTTGTGATTGTTAAACAAATTCTCCTTGTCGGTACCTTAGGAAATGTATAGAGAACAGTGTGGAGAAAACGAATAGTCATGTTAAAGTAAAAAGGCATAATAGCCATTTTTAAATTAAACCCTTTGCTTGGACACTTTCATCATTGCATGAACTTGATTATACTCACATGATTAAAACTTAGAGACATTGCCACCCATTTTCTAGCACGTTCAAATTCATCTTTCATGCCCATAATGTACAATGTGTCTAAAGCATCAACGACTGTTGCACCAGACGAGGAAGCTCCAAATATACTTGCTGCATGGCTTGACTTGCTAATTGGTCGCAACTCATTGCTGCCCCAAGCATACTTTACATAACCATTCCATGCATGTTCCATCATCTAATGGGGAAAAATGTATTAGAATTATCTGACACTAAAATTATTGACCATGTAGTCTGATGCTCCTGGTGGGTGTGGCCCTTAGAAGGACTGTTGTCTGCAGTTGTCACTGACATTGTGACAGCCTGAGCGGAAGTCATCATCAGAGTCAAACCTCAATATCCACACTCTTGAGGACTAAGCTGAGTAGCTGGGATAATTGAATCCATATAATCAAAACTAAGAATATTATAGAGCCAAAAATAAAATGAATAAATGGTGTGACAATTGAAGCACATTCTCAAATCACTGTGCATGTACTGTTAATATTAGCCAAAAGTATTTTGAACCCAGAAATAACAACTATAAATACCTATGACCAGAGAAGCAAATCTGAATAATACAAAAATCTGGATAATCTGGGTTTTTATGTAGTAACAAATTATTTACAATAGTCATTCTTAGAGTTGAATGAATACTGTATGGCTTTTGAAACAAACATGCTCTCTGAAATTGTATATTGTGATTAAGGTAATGCACAGAAATGAGGTATGGAAGGAAAAAAAATTACACCTTTGATCTCTTTTTTGGGTGATCAGTAGTTTGCAAATGGTGTAAATCAGGTTGTCAAAGTTGACTGACACTAAACATAGGAAGCTTTTAATTACATCATTTTCTCTCTCTCTCTTTATTTTTTAAATTTTTTTCTTTCGTGGATGGAATAGCTTATGAAACATATACTGTTGACAAAAAGGTGTATAACAATGCAATTGCTTAGTCTTGAGCTTTCAAACAGTACTATAGCATAAAAAGTATACATCTATTGAGGCCCTCTTACAATCAGTTATTTGAGTAAAAGTGGAACAATGATTGCTTCTCATTTTCCAAATGAACAAAAACACTCAATTGACAAGTACAAATTGACTTGAACAAAAGGAATAACACAGCTCCAAAAAAACTCTTAAAACTAAATTCACCCATTTGGCCAATCAATCAGAAAAAAATCAGAAAAGTAACCTTCTGTGAACAAATTCTGATACACTTCATTTAAAGTAGACAAATAGAATGTGTTGGCTAATCCAAATATAGCCTGACAATTACATTTAGTCTGAGTTATTAAAGTTCTCTTAACCTTGAACTGGGGATATTTTGACAAACAGAAAGTTTGGATTGATCTCTTTCCCTTTTTCCCTTAACTAAGAAACAAAACAGCTGATCAAATTTTCCCTATAAGTTAACTAAAGCTATCTAAACAAAGCACTGCATATAATTAACATGATGACACTCCACGCTTTACATAACGCGTAAAGACACGAATATATTAAACACGAAATGCTGTAAGTTGGAAACATAACAAATCCAAAGGAAAAAGACATAAAAAACAGTAGTTAGAGCATCGGAGCGCGGAATTCGAAGGTCTGAGGTTCGATTCCTCATGGGGACTTAGAATTATTTTTCTTTGTCCCACGCTCCTGACAAGACGAAAAAACATCTTTCTCGACATAAAAAACAGTTTTTAAACAGTGCTGAATTCTTCGCGAATTGGAATTTCAAAAAAGCCTTAAGTCACGAAATCTTAATCAATCTGACTTGTTTCAATAGTTATACGGATTAAGTAGGTTTCTTCATAACTGTGAAATATACAAAAAAAACGAATCTCCTAAATATAAGAAAATTAAAAACAAAATTAGTGAGGAGAATAATCAATCAACCGCAGATTCAAGGAAGTCTGCATCAAACTGATCCATTGTAAAATAAGACAAAAAATTCTATTTTTTAGAGGCTGTAATGAAAAATTAGAGCCGCAGTTGAATGTGTTCATTGTTGACAACAATTGAATGAGGATCTAAAAAAAGATGTCACTAACCACCATTCAGTATCGTAACATTGTGTGATAAAATGTTCACAAAGTAGGCGGTATTTCATTAACTCACCCTCTTGATAAAATTTCTTCTCTCTCTAGTCCTTTCATCGGCAGGTTCCCCTCCAGTGATTCCCTTAGCACCAGTGTCATCCACCTTGGAATTGTTAACTAATTGCTCGATTCTAGCTTCCTTTACCGCAACTTTCTCAGCCTTTTGATCTTTGATGAATTTCTCTTTGTCCTTCCTTATCATCTCTATCAATTCCTTGTGTGTTAAAGATAACTTTGAAGTTGTCCTCTCTGATAATTGACCTGTTTCTCTTCGGTTAGTATCGGAAGTCTCTGGTTTGCTAAATTCACTGACTTGCGGAGTAAAGTCATCTATCAGCATGCAAATTAAAGAATTACTATGATTAATAAATTTCACTGTAAAATACCACAAGAACTATTCAATGGCTCCTTGTTCACATGCTCTTTACCCGAAAATAGGGGATAAACATTCACCTGCTATTTTAACAATCGGTGTCTTTGGGGCCTTTATTGGCACAATGTCCCCTCCGCCACCAACAAACCTCCTGTATGCGTCCTCAAGATATGTTCTATCTCTTAGGTCTGGTACGAAGAAAAATGCTCCAAAACATAGAAAGAGGAAAGCTATAAATATTAACATTAATACATATTTTTCCCTAAGCCTAAGACCCGATCTATTGACGGGAATAGGATGAAAATTTCTACTATGGTGAGTTGGCAGTATCGCCATGATCGAACAAGTTATACCGCCATATTGGGTAATACCGCTGATAAGCATTGTCCAAGGGCGCTTCGAAGTTATTATGATCGTTTTTGATTGGATGAATAACTCGTGCGGAACGCTGCGAAAATTTTAGTATAAGCTTACTATGTAATTATTTCATAGGATAGGCTTTTACTGAGATAAAGCAAATCAGGAAAGAAAGGCAAAAGGAGAAGAGCAAATGGTGAATTCTCCATGATCAAGGTCTTTACAAACCCTTACAAGGCATGCTAAAAGGTTGTTGTTGACAAGACAAAGTGTAGTGCCTTAGAAAAATAAACACAATAACTACTAATTGTGATCAAGATTACCCGTTTCATTTGGAGTTATTGATAAAGAGTGACACCAGGTTGATCATGCGACAACAACAATAATAGGTAGCAGGATTACATGTTATGACCCAGTTTTCTTGGTTCATGGTTTTCGATTTTTCCTTAGCTTAGCTTTTGTGCCTTCATGGTTTTTGTTTCCTTTGTTAAATAGTCTTATTTTGTGAGCTAAGCTTCTTCCTAGTCCGACATTATAGGCAGCAGTGTTGAAGTGGTTTCCAAAGGATATCAATATTAGTTTACTTTCAGTTTTCATTCTTCAAGTTGTGTAAGCTTCTACTCTGATATTTTCAATAGCACATTTATACAGAAGCTAGATGAGCCCTTTATGCTATTACTCTATTTCCTCAAATTTTGACTGATTGTAGGTAGAAAAAATGATTACCCTAGTTTTGACAAGGCTACTAAGACAAGGGCACTGTTATATAGGTAAAAGTAAAGAATCCAATCCCACTGATGCGTTGGCCAACACACCGCCAACACACTGCCAACATGTCGACCATCATTTTGAGAACAAAATACTGGTACCTAAGTCTTCTCTGCATTTTTTTTTGCTTTTTTAGGGTACTTAACCAAGGAAGTTAGCATGTCGGCTGACACTGATCTCACTGACATGTTTACTTTTTGTTTATTAGCAAGATTAGGAAGCAAAAAGTCTTTATTGATCATTGACTTTTGAATATGTGGTGGCTCCTAAAGGAGCTGTTTTTAAATGCACACACCCCTGATGCATCTTGCAAGTTAGAAGGATAAATGGTGGCCAACACATCAGCTGACAGTTGGCCAGCTGTTGACTGATGCATAGGTTGGATTGGATTCTTTACCTTTACCGTTATATGTGTACACTGAAGTAAATTCAAAGGATCAGCACATCATCTGTTGAACCTTATCACTGCTGAATGAAATGTGAAGGTTAAGAGAATGGAAAGAAATAATTGTTGCCTGAAAAAACTCCCTTGCCTTTGTGAGACAGATTGGTTTCCTAGGATGCTTGTTCTTCTGCTTCAAATAGATCTAATGCAAAGTGTTTATTACAAAAGTAAACAACTTTTCAAACTCATGAAAGGCAAACCACCATCATTGGCAACAACTTGGTATTGTTCCAATAAATTTCAGAACAACACTTATCCTATATTGGTCTAGCAAATCTAATTTTGCCATTACAAAAATAGTATTATCGAAAAAAAATTCAAGACAAAGGTATTGGTCACATTTCTTTAACCTCAGGATTTTAGGGAAATCTGAGAAAATGTCACAGTGCAGATGAGGCACAACAAGTTTGATGAATTCATTCATTTCTTTCCCTGTTAAAATTCATTGACTACTGGACACCCAGCTTACCTTTCAAAATTGTTGCATGCACTTTTGTACTTTTATTCAATAACCTCTCTCGAAACAGCTGTATTTGCTAAATTCCATTATTTACAGAGAGCACTAATTAATCAGATTGTTTTACTTGATCAATCAAATGTCCCAAAGTTGTTGTCAGCAACTGCAGATTGTGTGCATCAGAAAGCCTATGACCACCATCCTTGATAAGTGTTAATTGGACATCATCACTTTCAAGTTGATTGACCAGATCAAGTGATACCTGGTAGGGCACATCACCATCTTTCATGCCATGGAGTAAACGTACAGGACAGCAGATGGGATAGAGTTCTTTTTCTTGTAAAACATGCTGACGTGCCTCTTCTATCACTATTGAATCTAACACATATGGCTCCTCAGTGTGTTGAGAAGGTAATATCCATTTTCCTGTAGCTTCCACTTCCCTTTTTTCTTCATGGGAAAGAGTATCAAAGCGTCGTGATACAAAGTCAACAGCACTAGCTATGCCAATGAGACCCCTTATTTGATCTGGTTTTGACATCGCAACTAAAAGAGAAATCCATCCTCCAAGGCTTGACCCTACAAGGATCTGTGGACCTACAAAGTAAATGTACATGGTCCCCCTTAAAATCTGTCCAAGGTTCTGGGAAATGAAACTCTCATGAGAGTTTGCATTACCTCACATAATGCATTACAATGCATTATTATTAGGTTTGAATCATTTCACATGATGCATTATCTCTTATCTGTGCATAAAATTTGTTATATGTTGATATATACAAATATAATTGTATAGTTGGACCAAATGGAAATAAACCATCGCAATAAGAAGAACACAAACTTTCCATTCTTGAAAGGATGTCACAACCCTGTCTTGAACAGACCAGAAGCAAAATTTATATTTATATTCTCAGAACGCGGGGGGAATCAAATTTTTGCTCCGGTTTTGCCACCAGAAGATCCCAAAAATTTCATTTTGCACATTATAAAATACATAAAATCTCGACGCTTCAACAGACGGGGGGAATTAAGCCTGTTTCAAGTGCATTCTAAGTGCGTAATAAAAGATCTGAGCGGAGTGCCACCTTTAGCAACGCCATCAAGAATTGTTAACACATCTTCCTTCCTCATTCCAATTGTGCATTCTTGACTTTCTCCACTAGACATGCCATACCCTCTGTAGTCAAATCTTACATATGAGTGTCCAATTTTTTTGCAGTATCTCTCTAGAGCCAGAGCTTTTGTACCCTCCATGGTGGACATCAGCCCGGGCAAAAAGATAACCCCTGGAGATTTTCCGGGAGATTGTCGAAAGGCTACGCGTTCTCCTGGAGATGGGAACGCATACTGTACAGTGGACTCAGCAAAAGAACTCATTTTCTTCAACAAGTGTCTGATGGTCCTGTTTTGAGTACAGGGAGACTTAAAAAGATGCCTCATTACGTTGCCTTAATTAAGCTGCTGGGTTAGTGCTTCATTTATACATATATGAATTGTCTCTTCTAAGGCCCGTTTCTTAAAAGCACTGGTGCATGGTGACCAGCTGACATTTGTTTGAAATGTCTTCATTCAAGATCGAAATAATCATAGTTTTGAAATCCCAAAAACGAAAATGTATTAGAAAACATATAAGAATAATCTAGTTTATAAGCTTAAGACCCGCATTATCATCTCCTGCATTTAGTTTTTCGAACTTTCGAGAAACAGGCTAGTGGTCTTGGGTGTGATCTAAGGTCCCTTTCCGAATACTGTGACGAATAGGTTGCCTTTGGTGTAGATGCCACAAATGGGAAAGTTTGCTGACCAGCGCATTTTAGTGCAAATGGGAGGGGTATACTCTTATCTAATCATCGATCTTTAATGTTTTACTTGTCTTACTATCTACAATTTCAAGATAAGGCCCTTTTCTCTTTCATTTTAACTCGTTTTAATTAAGACTAACATTGATATACCGGTAATAGTGCGAAAAAACGCTAGTAAGCAATTGGTTTAAGTTTTGAGTCTGATTGGTCAGGAGTATAATGACCTCCTGGAGTGGTCGAGAAAGTGGCGACAACTCGAACACTTTCCAACTTCCTTAGACGGTTGAGTTGTCGATGGTCGATTGAGAATTTTACATGGAATCGACGGTCTTTGGGATCACCTCGATCCGCATCCAGCCATGAAACCAGTAACAGGAACTCTATAGTCTTATTCGGCTCAAGGCAGCCTCCTCCTCAGGCCCTGCGTACTGTCGGAATGAATGCAATACCACGCGACTGGTGACGACCACGTAAGGAACTTCCCTTCCTCCACTGCGCGCCCATTTTCTTTTCCTTTGCCATTGGCAAAATGTTTGGTGAATCCTAGTTTCACCTCACTCGTTCTTGTTGGAAGATATTTCCCTGTATCAATTAAGGGAGCTGCAATTCCACTGTGAATAGATTTTCTATTTCCTCCTCAGAGACAATCTAGCACACAAATAAAGAAACCTATTCATTTTCTGAAAGAAAAAATCTGCATAACAGTTGCATCAGCATAGTTATTACGCTATGCAGGCTGTACTTACTCACATACCTTATTACCATATGAGGGGAGTTGGTGCCTAGTGATAAGCTAACGGGGATGTGCCGCTGGACGAGTTCGCACTTTCACGACCAGATTGACTATAATGGGGTTACATTTTCAATAAAGCTAATGGTAAGGGGTCGCTCATTTTCGGGATTTTGGGGATTAGAAATCTGGTTAAGTAATGGGAAGATTCGCGATTAAAAGTTAGTCACCTTCTCACAAAAAGTGACAAAGATGGGGTCTATAATTGGCCAAAGTATAGACTTCAATGTGGTAGGGTTTCTGAGAGGCCAACGGCACATTTCCAGCAAAAACTGACCGACGTGCCCCTTCCCCCTTATTACTAACTTATTAGGGCTGTTCTTTAAGTCATAACCTGTTTTCAAACTCTTACTACTTGATAGCGTTGTTAAGGCACAGTAACATAGTTACGCTTTAACAGATGTTTCAATCTTCAAATCATTATCTTCACCCTTTCTTAAACCGTTGACACGGAGTTTGTACCATCACTTCGCTATGACAGATGTTTTCATTCAGTTTCAAATCAGTTTCAACACTTTCTTAAACAGTTTGGTCCAAGTTTGCAACATAAATAAATGAACAACAACAAAAACAAACTAAGATCAAATAAAGGTTGAATCTTGAAACTTTCTCCCAAAATTTTGTAAGCCGTACCTTCTGGTATCCCTTAGCACCGATGTTAAGCGTGTAAGAAACAAGATAATTTGGTTTTATCGACTGAAAATTGGCCACCATAAAGAGTTTCTAAAGCTGACATTTCGAAATTTAACACTCCGTCAGAGTCCCTCGCCATTTGCTCTGTCGGAGTGTCAAGTCTCGAAACGTCAGCTTCAGAAACTCTTTACAGTGGCCGATTTACATCTATTTATTTGCTCAATTAGTAAACCAAATTATCTTGTTTTACCATAACCGACGCAGTACCACAATTTCCTTAGGAAGTTCCCCCCTTTCTTCGTGTATCAAACAGTTTGGTCGAAAATTGTACCATCGTTGAGACAGACGTTTTCATATTGGCGATAAATTTAAATCAATTTTTAGACATTGATGAGCAGTTCGCAGCATTGTTTCGTTAGTTTCTGACAGATGTGCACACATCACTTTCAAGTCACTTCAAAGCACTTTCTAAAACGGTCATTTGTAGTTTATAACACTGTTTTCTTATGGCAGATGTTTGTATATTAGTTTGAAATCACGTCTTAACGCCTTTTTCAAAGTCGATTTGGAGTTTTTAGCACTGTTGTGTTGCAACAGATGTTTACATATCGTTTTCAAATCACCTTTTAACACTCAATCTTTTACACATTCAGTTGATTTGCAGTTCGTAACGTTGTTCTTTTTATGACAGATCTTTTTATACAGTTTCAAATCACTTCGTCACACTTTCTTAAAACGTTCATTTGGAGTTCGTAACATCGTTGCATTGTGTCAGGTTTTTTCATAATTTCTAATGAGTTCTTAAATATTTCTCCTAGTAAACTGTTGATATGGAGTATCTTTGCGTTATGACAGATGTCTTAAAACATTTTCATATCGCCTCATCACACTTCATTACTCCTCATTAGACCTTTGAGTCCGCGTTTGTGCGATGTTTATCATCGCCTAGTTCTTATTTTACTTTGTTTTTGTATCAAAGGCTCCATGATTGCCAGTGCTTATTCAAGTTTCCTTGGTAGCATCGACATGTGTTGAACCCAAATCTCTGGCCTTTTGCCTCTTTTTAATCAGTTTGCAAACAGTATTACGCATACTGGCCACTCCAATTACCCCGCTGTTGGCTTTTTGGCGTTACTCTTTTCAATATGGTTGCTTTAATTGTGGTAGTTAACATAATTGCGTTATGAAAAATATTTTCATGTTCCAAATCAGTTTTCCACACTTCCATTAACTTTCCAGTCTGAGTTTGTATCATTTCACATTTTTGTTTTTGTTGTTGTAAATTATAAAATTATTTATGATTTCCGACAAAGGTCCTGCTTACTGTCAAGTCTTCAATTCTTTCATCAGAAGGAGTAGCAGTACACTCAACCCCCTAACACTGTAACACCTGTATACATATTCTACATACTAATCTACATAAATGCCCTATGGTAGTGACTAGGAGAAGTTGTTTAATAATCAAGAGCTTCTTAAGTTTGAAATCAATTCCTTTTTTTTTCATCATCTCCTAAATGTTTGTTTCATGGGTGATGCTGTTGAGGGAATAAGGAGCTAGTTACTCTTAACCCTTAAACTCCCTGAAGTGATTAAAATTAAACTTCTCCTTAAAATTTCCATACATATAACCAGCAAACAGGTAATGAGAATATTCAGACTTATTGGGTAAAAGTTATTATCCTGATCTAACACCAAATTCTTGGAGCTGATTTACAAGGAAATGTGTAGCAGCTAGAGGGAAAAAGTAACAATAAAATCTTAGGAGTTAAAGGGTTAAGAGTTGAAGGGGTATGGCACCTTGGAAACTGGGACAAGCACTTGTAATGAAAGTCGCCTTGATGAACAATAGACCCAGCCCTAATGAACATGAACACTTTGGGCTGGTTATTTATGAAAGATTTAATACAAACTGCAGTTTTACACAAGCAGTGGGCCTCAAGGGTTTGATTAAACAAATGTCCTTCCATAATTAGCTTTCAGCCCTCTAGACATTGTTCAGATAAAAGGTTTGATAAATTGAAGATGGCTTAGAACAAGGTATTGTTAAACCATGGCTAAACTTTGTTTAAATAACCCACCCTTTGCATCTGTGTTTGACTTACATTTGTAAATTCGTCAAACGTCAACCTTGTAGTCTGCTGCAATTCACTCCTGTTTAAAATACTTGATATCATTCCTAACAAGTGATCATCTGTGATAAGAGGACCAGTTACCATTCTAAGCAAGCTGAACAGTTCACTGTATGACAAGTATCCATCTTGATCAGTGTCCAGTAACTGGAATGCAACTACAAGAAAAATAAAAGATGAACAGGTCCAGATGCCTAAGTCTACTATACCACACATAATTTTAATTGCTCAGGGGAAGCTGAAAATTTTCTGGAATGACATGAACACCCACAGCAAACCCTATGATTGAGACTTCATATCTGAGACATTACCTCAGCCACTGAGAATTACTCTTTACCATATTTACACAAGGTCACCTCCAAATTGCACTAAAGGGTAGGAAGGGCTATGGAATGTAAAAATCCATTTAATCCTTTGCCTCTCAAGATCTTCAAACTTATTTCCCGTCCTGTGTCCATACTTTTTTTTTGTGGTTATTTTCTTTTTACCCTTTCTACCCACTGTGTTCAGAGATCAAGGGAGTAATTTACATACTAGTCACTCTTGGGTCAAGAGAAAAAGAGTAAAACCCTTGCACCTTATTTTTATCTGAGTTGTCATTTCTTATTTTCGATTTTTCAAGGGCCTATTACACAGTTATCATAGATGATCAAGATGAAGCCAATCTTGAGTTCTGACTGGTTGTCAAAGCAAATAAGATGGGAACATAGTACATGCTTCCCATTGCCTGCTATGATCCTACAGAAAAAAATCCTTGTATATGCCAGAGTACATACTTAATAACTTAATGCTTATAATAATAAATCGTTGACCACACTCATTGAGTCAAGATTGTATTTTCCTAGTGCATAAAGACAATTAAAAGAAATTCTGCCAACATTCAGCCCTCTTGACCAAACCAGCTTTGCCAATATCATAAAAACATCATCTTGGAAATCAATGACATTGACTAATCCATACAGCTAGCTCTACCCATAAAACTGAGGTAAATTGTGACTCACATTCTTTTTTGTCCTGAATAGAATTGCGATGACTGAGTCTGGACATAATTTTGATGAATGATTTAGGTGTTATCCTGTTGGTTCTTCTTTCAAGATATGCAGAGGCCACTTTGGGCATGACTGGATTTGTAGATATTTCTGGTATATCTAAGAACTGTTTCAGGGTTATACCACCATTTTTCCCTTCAGGATCATAACGGGAAAACCTCTTCAGCAGCTTTGGAATCTCTTTAGTAGTAACTAGGAGAAAAGAAATGACTATCTAAAAGAAATGAAATGCAGTACATGGTTCAAACCTGGGAATAAGCGGTTGAAATAAATCTTGTACTTGCGATTTCAAAACATCACCCAGAAAAAAAAGGAGATAAAAACAGACAGGCTTATTATTTACAAGGTGTGATCTTGATATGATGCCAAATTCTTGCAATCCAATTTATAAGGAAATATATGGCATCTACTAGGGAAACTACTGAGCAGATCTTGAGAGTCAAGAGTTAAATAGTAACAACCTTCCAACAACAGCCCAATTTCCTGGAATTTATTCTGCACATTTTTGTTCACTGACAAAAATAGTTTGATTGATGTTTGATTTACAACTCCATTAAAATTATCTTTAAAATAATGTTCCTAGTTTTACAAATTGCAACAAACACTTGCATTTTGTATTAATAAAAAACTTGTTCCTTTACTGTTAGGCATTACTTTGAACCCAAATCCTACCCTACTCCCATATACATACAGTTTGAATTTGATTCCAGTTCTCTTATTTCTTCCTCATTGGCAACTGATGCTCCTGCTCCCTAAATAACAGCATATAAAACAAGTTTTTATTTTGAGATAAAAAATGGATCAACTTGGAAAATGAAGGTCACCAATTCATTAGATTAACAAAGTACAGTATACCTAATACTAAACTGGCATCTAAGGTTCTAAAGTAAAAGCTACAATATCTCCCAAGAAGAGCAATTTTAGAACACTTTCCTCAATTTCTACATTTGGTGCAGTTTTAGGGTGCATAACTAGCTGAATAGAAATAGCTATTGCTATTAAGGGTAAAATTTGCAAATTTGAGTCTTCCTAACCCTAATTTTTGCACACTTTGTCAGTTGTGACTTGTCTTCTGCAAAAAGTTATCTAGAAATTTGGAAACATTTTTTTCTTTAAAAGTCATCCCTCCACATACTGTAGCCCAACACAAGGTGTGTAGACATGATTATGATATGAATTTATGAAATCTTCCAGAATTTCTTGTAAATTAAATCTTATTTTCTAGACTCAAAGGTATGATTCATAGCACATGGTTCCCATAAGTCGCTCAGGGTTTGTCACAGACTGAAAGTCCTATAATCATGAATGTAAAACATGTTGATAGAAGTAGTGGTGATTTATGCAAATTCAACCTCCGAACAAAGATGTCACCCAACAACTATCTTCACTTTTCCCCTTTTTCTCAAAAATTTATCTTTATTTTCTGTACTCTTTCTGGATCTTAAAAATTTTTGAAAATTTACAATTTTCCTTTTGAATTGATTCAAACCTCTGTATAAACCCCTCCTTCAATAAAATTTTCTTCCTTTTCCTAAACACAAATATTTGGACACATTAATGTCCATAACCATTGCATCAAAATTAACATGATTTTGGTAAGATTCTCAAATCAAAGTAATCCCCATTTTCCCCATTCACTCCCTGAAATTTACCATTTTGAGAGCTTTTAACATTTAAGATTTTAAAGAGAATTATGCAGAATTTCTATATCAGTTTAGATCTCTGTAAAAGAAAACTTTGAAAGGAAGACTTACAAGCAAAAGCAATTTTAATAAACCCATGAAAATTATCACAATGGATAAGGAAACATGAAAGCCTTTCAGTAACTCTATACTAAACATTTCTGATAAAGATGTGTTTTTACGCTAAACAAGAAATTATTTTAAAATATCAGCTGCATAAGAGATAGTGTAAGTTGAAAGCTTAATTAGAAATGGCATATAATGAGTTGTTTCAAAGATAAAAGTCAGCTCTCTTGTATTAAAAAAAGTAAAACCCTATATAATAACTTCCAATGAGAAACCACGAAGTTAATGTAACTTTCAAAATACCACATATGGGGTGCATTAGATGGTATAATGATCAACAATAAAAAACTTGTTATGGAAGGAAATAATGTTTTTACTGATAATGAAATCTAGCATTTCCTGGTTAAGATGATAAATTGCTGGAAAAAGGATAATTGAGATTTCAAACTTCCTCCTTGCAAAACAAAAATATTTCTTGTTGAAAAACTTTTCAATAAAATTGAGCGATTCAGATTTTTCTCACACCTTAAGACTGTCCTGATAAAAAATTCCCAGCAACCCTAAATGGTCTTGAAATCTCAATTTTGTATAAGACAAAGAGGAAATTTAAGGTGGACAAATATATTGACAGGACAACACATAAATGGGTCCATTAGTTGCCATGAAAACCTTACTGGTTCAGAAACATTATGGGGAAATCTCATTCATGCTTCACAAAGGCAAAATGAAATACAGCAAAATATTGACCATTAGATTTAAGATAGAGTGACAAGGATCAAACGAAATAGGAAATTTTTCCTTTGCCTGGAAAAAAGTAAACTTCCTTCCCTGGACACAATTTTTAATAATAACATCATTCACTGTTGACAGCTTCATTATTTTCCCTATCTACTTATGTTTGATTTAGACTTTTAAACATCTATTTTTATTCAGATTTTTTCCTGTACTCCTTAAATAAAGCAAAAGCAGTAGCGACAAGGATCCACTTTAAATTTGTCAGCCTGTCAGTGTTGCCTTTCCCATTACTATCCAGCTGAACAAACTGGTCAATAATTTTAATTAAAAAGGAAGACAATTCCCAAGTTATCTGGCCATGAAGTCGGTGACGGTTTTTGATTTATTTATCCAGGCAGATCTTTCAGAGCTTTAAGCACAGGAAAGAAAGTGCTTACCGTCATCAACTGAAAGTGTGCCGAGAGGTAATAACAAAGGTTCCGCCATAAAAGAGTGCTTTATGTAGCTTTATGAGAAGAAATATCTCAGGAGAATCACCTGTTAGTTCTTTGTTCAAATAGTCCATTAACTTGTAGCATTAGCGGCCTGTGGACGTAATGATTCTCTCTCCACACACAGAGAAGATTAAATTTCTTGCGCTTTTATCTACTTTTAAATAATAAACAAAGACTTCAATTTTCGCGCCGTCGATGGATCTTTCGTAAGTAAGAGAAAATCTGCCAGGTTTTGTGCCTATTGCTATTTTTTAATTCCTTAGCGTTCTCACACCTTTAGCTAATCTAAAAACAATACAAGTCTCACTTCTTACCATTACTGAATAGGCCAGAAGGTCTCCTTTCCTCGAAGGTTACAGAACATGGCTGAATATCTGAATTTGTAATTCGTCACGCACTGGGGGATAGAGTGGAAAATTGTCATAGTCATAATAACGCCCAACCACCCTTCCCTCTGTGAAAAGTTACAAACTTTGAAGGTAATAATATTTTGCAACAGTAATACATTGATGTATTACGTATTTTGACTAAAATGACCAATACTACGAGAATTAAATGCTTATCTAAAAGGCAAAACTCTCGCAAACCTTGAAACGTACAACTGAACCTTTTTTGCCAGCTCACGTCTTAGAAAGAGTGGCTAGGGCAACTGAAAAAAGGCTTTACGGAATACAAGAAAAAGACTCATTTACATTTTGAAAATAGAGTTATCCAAAACAAAGAGAACAGGATTTAAATTGTTTTGCGTGACCATGTGGCTTCGCAAAACGTGTGCTTTGCTTTTATATTTACAATCGTTTAGGTTTTTTAGCACTACACATGTCAGAGCAGTGAAATTTGCATTAGTTTTGTTGACTGAGGGGTGCAAATTTGCGTTTCAGTTGTGCTAAGTTAGACTATTGGACCTTCCGTGGCACGAGTGTCGCGGCTTCTTGAAGCACGTTACACGTTGTAGAAGCCCTTTGACGGTGAAAACAATAAATTTGTTAGATAGCCGAAGTGATTGGCCGAGTGCGCTTCGGAGGTGTGAAAATCTCCCAGCTTCGGACAACACCCGCGGCACGTCTAGACTATTTTAGTACTGCCCTACACAAACATTTTGCCAAAGATTTCACGCGTTCCTGTACTCCAGCGACTTTGCAAGATCGAAGGCAGCCTGTCGTGCACTGCACCATTTCGTGACATCAGGTGAGTACACGTAACCCATGTGAATACTACTGAACGCTTGTCAAACATGTTCGGCTGGAAAGGCGCATATTCATTTTATTAGTACTTCTCTTATCTTGTTCACGGGCGAGCGCAATTTCGACGAAGAAATTGCAGATTTTCCCCATAATCTTTGCCTAGAAAAGAGAAAACCCACACGTTTCATCTCGGTTACCGATAATACCTGAATACTGGTAACTTACTAGACCAGGAGTTGCACAATTTCGTCATTGAGTGATTTCGTGACTCGAAGTTGGCTCATTAATTCTCGAAATTGAAATAACATGGGTCCTTTCTTCTTTCAACTGACAGGAAAAGCACCGGAAAATTTAAGAAAAACCCGACTTATATAAGTGGATCTTTTATACTGAACACAACATGAAGTAAGTACTTTGTGTCACAAATTTTTAAATTAAGCGGGTGAACAACCAAGCAAGCGAAATACCAAGGAATTGGGATTCGTGAGGTTTGCAATGCAAAGAAGGAATTTTGCAAAGTACTATTTCAACAGTCACTGTCATGTTAAGCTATAGTGAGAGAAAAAAGGCACGAACGAAAATTACGCGACAGTTCTTTAGGCTGGATAAATCTTTATTTCCCTCTGAAAGAACATCACTCTTTTTGCTATCGATTTGGCATGTTCAGTCGGTGAATTGTAGACGAATCACAAAACCAATTACTTTACATCTAAATCAATGAATCTATGGCCATTTGCACATAGATATCAAGCCCATGTTCGTGCTAGCAACATGTTTCCCATTCGCCACGTGTCATAAACGGGTTTTTTTTCTTTTCTGGTCATTGCAGCAAAATTTGGCGGCCATGGCTCGAAACACCCGAAGACGATCAAAGAAAACAGCGTCAAGTACGATTCACGGTGAGTTGATGGATAGTTTTCTAAAGAAAGATTGACTGAGATTTCTACAGCTCAAACGAGAATAATCAGAAACGAATTTTCAGTGAAACTTTGACTACAATCAAAGGCCTAATAAAGTATTTCACAAGATTCTTTTCACTCTTGGAAACCATTAAGTTGTAAAGCAAAGTGTGGTTTTCTTTTAGCGCAGGAAACCTTTCGGCTCTTTTGCTTATCCGGTTTTTTGTTTTCCATCAATTTTGGAGTGAAAAGGAAGGAAGTTTGAAGGGAATTATATAAATCATCGCGCTTTATTTTAATTTCTCATAAATCAACTACTCGCTGTGGGTACTTTGCTGAACTGTTTCTCTTAAAATTTGCACAACTCTTTGACGGAAAAACGCTGATTTTTTTTCTGATCGTTTTCCTACTCTGTTCCTAAAAGAAAAAAATTTAATGAAATTACGCTTATTATGAATAAAAATAAAGTTATTCTTTTTATTAACTGAAAAAAATTCTTAATAGAGGAACCTTGTTTTCAATATATCTTCGATCTTCGAATGATGGGAACAGTAAAAGGATTCGAAATCATGAAAACGCGATGAAAGAAAAATCTCCAGGAAAGCGTCTATTTAAAGGGTCAATACCCTGTCGTTTCACCATGAAACAGAAACATCCCTTTTGAACTGAGCCCTTAAACACATTGAAACTGATAAAGATATGGCTCTTTATATCGATAGAATTTTATGAGGGAGTGTGCAAGCAATATCGGTGACCAGCTTCTTGCGGGTGGGACCAATTGATACGACTAAAATCTATTTTATGTCGGTGGGCTGTGTCTTTTTGCCATTTTTTTCCGGCAACACACTATTGCCACTCATTTGTCCCAAGTTAAGTTATTGGGATACCCTTTGAAGAAGCTTTCTATCTTTTAAGTTTCTCAGCGGGCTTGACTCGTCCTAATTTACAGGTCTGTCAAAGCGGTTGCAAGTACCCGCGCGATATCGAATTGTCGATTGACCTTCGTCTAAACAAACCTTTCCATACCTGACATCTGCTATTCGATTTTTTGAGTAGCTTTCAAATTGTCATTCGGTTACCTGTACTGAATCTGTTAGTTTGCGCTAGATTGCTTATGTATAAAACAGGAAAATAATTTTAAGCTGTTTATCTGTTAAAGATGCGCCGTAACTCGGCTACTGCGGTACACGCAGCGCGCTATAGAATGTTTAGACGCAGTGTTCAAGCAACAGAAACTGACCATGTTCTAATTTTTGATTATTCAGATTCTAAAAGCACCAACCGAGTTAATGTTATGATGGGGTTGTGAATAAATATACATCAATTTAGGGACAATAATTGAAAAACAACGTTTTTTCCACGATAAGTATTCTTTTTTAATGTGATAAACAGAGTTAGACCGTGAAGGAAAGCGGCACTTAAGTCTTTGCCGATGTTTATCAAACCCGCCGTAAATGGACAATGAACAACCTTAACCCTTATATGAAAACTCGTTCCGTCCGGTCAACATACTAAAAAAAAATTAATCGTTCCTTTACCTCGTTAAATTTATCACAGTGTGCCTACTAAAACCTTAAACGAGCAAGCAAGTGAAAGCTCTGTAGGCAGAATAAGCCAACGGGCTTCTCAGACTGCATTTAAGCAATTCACTTCTGCAGGTTTTCAAAACAAAAAAATCCCTTTAATTTTTCACCGTTGCCTGGCCGGGGTGTTTTAAGCTTTTTTCTGTATCGTAACTGATGGTTGAAAGGCAAGATACAGTGCTACAATAAAGTCTTGCCCGCCATTTCTGCGCGAGGTGGTTAACTTGAGTAGTAGAATTCACTTCCAAATTTAACGTCGTTATATTATTTACAACCGAAGGCAAAACCAGTTTCGGTCAATAACCGGTTACAACCTTTGTTTTACTGGAGTTCCCTGGTATCGGTATTCATTATCTCGAATATGAAGAGATAAACTCGTTACTAATCTTTGACTAAGAAGTCAAATTGTGGTTTCGATGAACTTCCTTTGGATTTTTATTTTTAGATGTAAAACTTCTGGAAACAAGTATGCGGTTGTAAGCTACTTCCGTCGTTACACGATAGAAAGGAAAATTATTTTTGCATCCACAACTTTTGAAGGGGTTTTTAGTTATGAGCTTTTGCGAAGCAAACGCATAATTTCTTATCCGCTTTCGGGACAGAAGTCAATGATTTATTTAGTATAGAACAACAAAGACAACAACAACATTAAGAAGACAGATTTCAGCTCTGAAAGAGTTTCCATTTTCGAGATTTTAATTGTTAAAAACCTGTTAGATTCCATTGATGCTTTCGGGACTTCAAATGCGGTAATGAGACAGAAATCACTGATTTTATAAGTGTAGTACAGTGACAACAACAGCAACGAAATTAATTTAGAAGACCGCGATTTCAACTCTGTTCTCGTGAATCGTAGACACTGCACAAAATGGTTGATCGAGGACTAGATGGTGCTGTAAGAATTTCACGAACAACACATTAATTATTGTTACTTACTCGTTGTAATATTCTAATTTTTATTCCGAAATAGCCCTATGGATCGCCAAGTACAACAGGGAATGTACAGCAACAACCACAATTTAAACATCCAGTCAGGTAAGCCACCAGTAATAACATATCTTCGAAATGGTAATTGGCACAGTGATTTTCCGAAAAGAAAGGGAGAACTTATTTACGTCAATTTTTCGAGCATCTACGTTCATGTATTTGACTTGATTCAAAATAATTAAAAACGAACTGGCCAGCGAAAGGAAGAAGAACGTTCCGGCCCTTTCCGTTCATCCTATTGTTTACACAGGGACGCGCCGTTGCTGTTTTTCTTTTCCACTTAAAAGACAAAGAAAAACCAAACAAGGAAGTCTTCTTTGAGTGAATCATTCATATTTTACTTAACCGTGGTTCTAGGGGTCCCCTCTTGTCTATTTATAAATCAAATACAGAAGAAACTGCGTAAAGAAACACATAGAAGAAAGTGAAAACGTCATGGAAAGCGGTACTTTAATGTTCCTGGCGCTTACGCTTTAAGGATCAACTATCGGAAAGTGACTTTCAAGTGTGTACCGCAAAGAAGTTTGTGGTTGACCAACGCAATAAGTGCCTTGACCTCAGAGTCAGACAAAGATTGAAATGAAATTGATAGCATTTCTATTTTAATGACTTTTTTCGAAGACTCTACCGGTAGAGTAATCCTCATGAATACAAAGATGCTTGCACTTACCATGCATTATTTATAGTCAACTGAGTAAATTTCACGGTCATTACCAAAGTAAAACTTGTCCAGATTCAGGGGTTATTTTGTTGGAATGGACTTTTTCGTTTTGCCAACTTATTCGGCGAAGCTTATTCTTGACATTATAGCAATGAAAATCGAGACACACCAAATTCCAAAATCAGTTGATGCGGTTAAAACGGGTATTTTGAAGCAGAATGCGTAATTAAGGCGCCGGCAGCAATAGGAAAAGGCTTGACCAAAAAAATAAAACAGGATGAAAGGCAAGGCGCCACGCTAACAGTCATAAATGTATTTTAGGCTAGGTTCCCCTGGAAACTCAACGAAGTGCTGAAGACATTCTGAACTGAATCATGGCTATGTTAGGTCTGATCTTCGTTTTTATGAGGGGGGGGGG